AGTCTGTTAATGAAGTTTTAGGAAATTATCAAATGGCAGTTTATCAATATAATAATCCTTATGTTTCTGAGTTTATTAATCTTCAACCTATTAGAAATATTTATATTCATTCTTCTCAATTGTCTAATTATAATCAAGTAAATTGTTCTACTGGAGATACAACAGTAGTTAAAAAGGTTCCTGTTACTGCTCCTCATTCTGGTTTGATATTCGACTCAGAATTAAACCCTCTCGATTACTTGGATATATCAAATAGAAGTTTTAAACAGTTAGACTTTTGGTTTAGTAATTCAGCAGGCAATGAAATTAATTTAAATGGAGTGAATGTGTCATTTTCTTTATTAATAATTAAAAGTGATATTATTTAAATATATTCTTTAATTTTTCCATATAGAAAATATATAGAATATATTATATGGCAAGTATTGAGGTAGTAGATGTTAATAATGATACTAAAACAGACGAGACACCTATAAATAATGAAGTCGTTGAACAAAATGAAACAGTTAATGAAGAACCAATGCCGGAAGAAGTTAAACCAGAAGAAGTTAAACCAGAAGAAGTCAAACCTGAACCAAAAGCAAAAGCATTACCAAGAACTAAAAAAGAAGTTGAACTAGTAGAATGTGAACAATGCTCTAAAAAGATGACATTGAAAAGTTTGAGACACTCACATCCTAAAAATTGTAAAGGGGCAAAAACCGAGATGCTCCCAGTCAATCCACAAAAGAATATTAGAAAGATAAAACCAGAATTGAAAGAAGAAATTAAGAATGAGATTAAGCAAGAAGTGATTAAAGAAACCATTAAGAAACCCACAGCAACAGAACTATTAAACCAACATTACGAAGAACTTAAACAAAAGAAAAAACAAGATAAACAAGAAAAAATAAACAAATTATCTTCATCAATGTTTTAAATAATAATCTAATTATAATATATATACATCATGCTTATGAGAAGTCATAGAAATGTAGAATTCAAAAGAGCACCACAAGTAGAACGTCATTATGACGTTTCAGATTTATGGGGAGTTGCCTCGCGTATGAATTACTTTAAACAGTTGAAGGACACACTGGAAGCGAAACAATCACAAGGAGCATTAATAAAGTATAGAAACGATTTAGTTGAAAGCAACAGAACCGAAAGTTATAGAAAAGAGTTAGACAGAATAAGAAACATATTAGACAACACACGGACACCAGATGGAATACAAACAAAGGAACAACTAACTGTAAGAAAGAAACATTTAGAAGAAATGATTAAGAATATCTCTGATTAATTTATTTTTCTAAATAATTAATATACTATGATTAAATCAATTAGTAGATTGAATACAGTAGGACCGGTAAAAGTAGGGTCATTGAAATCACAATTACATTTGAGACCTTCTTATGATGAACTATTGAAAGAAACATTAGTAGGAGATGAGAACCGTCCATCAATTGAAAATGTAATAGACAGAAAAGCAACCAGATACAGATTAAATCAATACGGTAGTCAGTTTGATAATAAAGATGCTTTGGATATTCAGAAGAAACAAGAACTGAACAGAAGAGAAGAAGTTATGAAAGAGGCGTCGTCGGACGGTGGTAGTGTAAGAGCTAAACTTGATGACACACTGAAACAACAGCAGTCTTTCATTAATGAAAGATTGTCGGAAGCAAACAAACAGAAAGAAGAACTTGCTGAAAAAATGAGACTTTGGAGAGAACAACACGATGAAATGGCAAGTGCTGTGTCAAAACAATCAATACCAGAAGGTGTAGAAATTCATTCAATGGTGTCCGCTGATGAAATGCCAGAATTAGAACCGTTAACTAAACAAGAGGAAGGGGAAGAGGAAGAAGAAGAAGACGACCCTGTAGTTGAAGTAGAAGCATTGAAAAAAGGTAAGGATGATGACGATGACGCGCAAACAACCATTACTAATGCTGAGATAATGGAAATGCAAGAACAATCAATCGAAATAGAATTAAAAAAATGTTGAAAATGAAGAAGTTGATGACGAACGAATTTTCAAAAATTATTTAAGTGGTATAAAGTGGATGTGGCCGGTATATTTAGCAAAAAATCCAAGAAGTTTAATGGATAGTATAATTTCAAAACTACATCAATTCAATGTAATTAACGCTGTTAAATATGATGAGTTCAAAGAATTATTAGATGAATATAACAATACAACAGGAGTAGATAGAAACTCAGTGAAGGTTAAACTACAAAAATATTATGAGGACAATGTTTATAATAAATACTTCGTCCATAAAGCAACCCAACAATAAATAATCTATAATATTTAATATGACTGATAAATATTATGGATTACGCCGACGCCCTACATTTGATGAAATGCTGAAAGAAGCGATGACACACAGATTAAAAATTGAAATCATCCCTGAAAGACAGACATTTGACACATCAATTAATAATATAGACTTTGATGATTTTGACCTTTCAAAATACGATAGGAGACTACGATTGAATGCTAGGGTTCAAACTGATAAACAAGTTCTTCAACATGAATTGTTCCCTGATATGTTTTATGAAGTAGCGCCAACATCACAGTTTTATGAAAACAACGAAGCAGACGCACAAACAACACGATATATAGCAAAAGATTTTACTGATGAAATTTATAGTAATGCAACTTCAGGACCAAAAGATGAACCAAAAGATGAACCAAAAGATGAACCAAAAGATGAAAAGCAGGAAGATTTACAAAGTCTTCATTTAACATCATCATCGTCATCAGCATCAACCGAAAAAGATAAGAAAGAGGAAAGCCAAGAAATAAAATCGTTAAGAAACATATTTTTAGGTGGAGAAGACAAGAGCGTATTTGAACTATTCAAACGTGAAAAGAAGTCATCCTCACCGTCCATTCAATCCGAAGAACAAGAAGAACAACCAAGGGCATCATTCTGGACAAGACGACAGGTAGAAGCAAGAAGCAGAAGCCACTCACCAGAAGAAAGACGAGGTAATCAAATGAGCAGAAGACAATTAGAAACAAGAAGCAGGAGCAACTCACCCCAAGAAATAGCAAGAGGCAGTGAATGGACGAGGGAACAAATGGAAACAAGAAGCAGGAGCAGAAGCCCAGAAAGCGCTGACACAAAAAGTAGCAGAGGCAAGAAGAAAAAATAAAACTACTTAAAGAAATGACCCCTTAATATATTAAGAAAAAAATGAATATGTGTATCAGAGAAGAATTGACAAAAGAAATTGTAAAATGCCGTGGTTGTAAGATATACAACAACAAAGTCAAAAAAGCAAATGACATATTTCCTGACTGTATCATTGATAATATTTTGAGTTTTGTATGTTGTAAAAGATGCACCATTACAAAACATTTAATGAAAAACGAACCTGACAATTTAGAAGAAATGGATAAGTGGATTTGGTATATGACGAGGTTAAATAAATGTCCAACGAAAAAATCATTACGGACAATATTTACAACTGGTTTAGACAAAACATTAAAAGAGTATGGATATGACAATAGGCTAATCTTGCATTATGAAACCGCTACTCAATTTCATTATAATTTACTTTTTCATAATAATGATGGTTATGTATCTTGTAAAGATTTTAGCATCTCGATGTGTAGGGATTTTCTTAAAATGTTGAAATGGCAATATATAGAAAACAAAGACAAAGTCGTTTATAAAAACATTTTTGATAATAAGTTTTATCATAAATTCGTCTGTCATTTGTTAGAAAAGAAAAGGTTGATTATAGACTGGTTTAATTATATGGGTACTTATGATTTTAGTGATGATGACTAAGTTTATTAATATTATTATCTTATAATATTATTAAACTACCTTAAAGTCAAATATATATACTTAAAGAAACAAGACCTTAATATATTAAGAGAAAATGACTAACTTACCTGTTGAAGTATTAAAAAGTATCATTTCATATAAATTAGGAGAACCTGAGTATTTGAAAATAAAACATAATCATATTAAGACATTAAAGAGAATACAACAACGATATAAAATAGACAGAACAGAAACAAAAAGAAAGACAAAGCGCTATACTGTTGAAGATGGCGATGATATAAAGAGACACGTAATTGAGTATTACATTTCAAGAAATATACCTTTAAGCATAAAAAGCATCAAAGATATAGTTTTTAATGAAAATGAAAACTTAGATTGTTTGTTAGATGGCATTGAAACCGATAACGGTTATGAAGCAGTGATAATAGTTGAGGTAAATATGTTTGTAAGGTTTCATCATTTCAATTATGAAGACAACCATTTTAACACTTTTAGTTTTTATTTTCGTAGTGATGATGTTGTGGATAATATAACCATAGATAATATATCCGAAGTAATGATGGAGGCACATCAAACAATATACAGATGTATTGATGATGAAAGAAGTAGAATGAATTTTGGAGGAGTACAAAACATAAGGTTTAAACTAATTGTTGATGAACCTGTGTAATTCAGTCAGTTTATTCATATTATTATCTTATAATACGATTAAATTCTTCAATCCCCCAGAAAGCCTTAAAATTGTCTGAAACCCGAACCTTGAAAATGATGAAATCTTAGACTGTTTCATAATGAAAAAATTGTAAAAAAATGTTGAGAAAATTTAGGAAAATTCCCCACAATCCCCCTTGGTGTTTTGGGCAAAATGGTTTGCTTGTTTAATTTCATCCCTGCCCCTGAAACCTTGAACTGAAAATACCCTACCCCAGGGCCCCCCTTATAACCATTTTTTGGGGGGGGGGTGGGGGGGCTGTTAAGATTGTCTTCAAGCCGTGGTTGCACTGGAGTTCGGCCTCAGACAAAATGCGATGCTGTGCGCATGTAGATGCCGTTTGCCAGTACGTCCGCTTTGTTGCCAAGCACGCATGCATCACTAGGCTACCCTAGGTTTATTTAGCAAAACTCCCCAAGGACAGGGCCCTTAAACGCCCAAAACATGTCAAACTGAGGGAGCTTGAAGTTGGGCTGATGGCGGTCTTCCAATGGTCCAGCCTCCTGGCCAGCACGGTGCTCACTCCCAGCGCAGCCATGGCGCCGGAACCATGGGCGCGCGGCTTGGGCGCACACGGGCCCCGGTGCCACGGCGACGCCGGGCACAGGGCCAGGAGGGCCATGATGGCTGCAACACCAATGGCCATGACAACATGCGCGAGGCCTCAAAGTCAAGCACCCTCGGAAAGTGACATCGTGAGAAGGAACTTGGGAAATTGGAAAACGACCAAGTGCACGCCAAGCTAGCTCACTCGTCCTGGTCCAAAGAATGCTAAAGTGAAAGCAACGTGAGCCATTCTAAGAGCCTAGTCCAGCCTTCCCCATCCGCCCGGGTCTCCTTTGCACCGGATGGCTGACAGGCCGAAGTCAATGACCTGCCGTGCGCAAAACTGGCAGCTGGAACAGCCTTTGGTCTGTCCCCATTTCATTCAACGCCTCTTTCCATGTTGATATATACCCGCTACTTTGCTTTCAACGAGCCACGGGCCCAAGCGCCTTGCCGACACGATAGTTCTGGTATGCCTCTTTGATCAGGCAATTCTCGAACTTGAGGTCTCCTCAGGAGCTCGCTCCAACACGCCACGCACACACACACACACACGCAGACAGACACAGACAGACACAGACACAGACACAGACACAGACACAGACACAGACACAGACACAGACGCAGACGCAGACACAGACACAGACACAGACACAGACACCGACACAGACGCAGACACAGACACAGACACAGACGCAGACACAGACACAGACGCAGACACAGACACAGACACAGACACAGACACAGACGCAGACACAGACCCAGACGCAGACACAGACCCAGACACAGGCACAGACGCAGACACAGACCCAGACGCAGACACAGACACAGACACAGACACAGACACAGACGCAGACGCAGACACAGACACAGACACAGACACAGACGCAGACACAGACACACACACACACAGACACAGACACAGACACACAGACACAGACACGGACACACAGACACGGACACGGACACGGACACGGACACGGACGCAGACACGCAGACACGCAGACACGCACACACGCAGACACGCAGACACGCAGACACGCAGACACGCAGACACGCAGACACGCAGACACGCAGACACGCAGACACGCAGACACACAGACACGACAGACACACAGCAGACACACAGACACACAGACACACAGACACACAGACACACAGACACACCGACACACAGACACACAGACACACATACACACAGACACACAGACACACAGACACACAGACACACAGACACACAGACACACAGACACACAGACACACAGACACACAACACACAGACACACAGACACACAGACACACAGACACACAGACACACAGACACACAGACACACAGACACACAGACACACAGACACACAGACACACAGACACACAGACGCACAGACTCACAGACGCACAGACGCACAGACGCACAGACGCACAGACGCACAGACGCACAGACGCACAGACGCACAGACACACAGACGCACAGACACACAGACACACAGACACACAGACACACAGACACACAGACACACACCCACGCACGCCCGCCACGCCCGCACGCCCGCACGCACGCACGCCCGCACGCACCACACGCCCGTCACTGCCGCACGCCCGCCACGCCGCCACGCCCGCACGCCCGCCCCCGCACGCCCGCACGCCCGCCGCCCCGCACGCCCGCGCACGACGCCTACACGCGCACACAGCGCACATCACCACACCCGTACATACGCGCACACAAGCACACCACACACACACGCAGACAGACAGACAGACAGACAGACAGACAGACAGACAGACAGACAGACAGACAGACAGACAGACAGACAGACAGACAGACAGACAGACAGACAGACAGGACAGACAGACAGACAGACAGACAGGACAGACAGACAGACAGACAGACAGACAGACAGACAGACAGACAGACAGACAGACAGACAGACAGACAGACAGACAGACAGACAGACAGACAGACAGACAGACAGACAGACACACACGCACACACACAGACACACACATACACACACAGAGAGAGAGACACGCGCACACACACCCACACGCACACACGCACACGCACACGCACAAACAAACGCACAAACAAACAAACAAACAAACAAACAAACAAAGAAACAAACAAACAGACACACAAACAATCACACAAACAAACACACAAACAAACACACAAACAAACACACACACACACACACAAACAAACAAACAAACAAACAAACAAACAAACAAACAAACAAACAAACACAGACATGTACATATGTATATATATATATGTATTATATATATATATGTGTGAGTGTGTGTTGTTTGCATGTCAATGTGCTTATACACACATATATATATATATTATGTATACATATATTTATTGACATTTAAAAAAAACTAGACCACGGTTGGCCCGAAAGCAGAACATCGCAAGCGAGGTCGGCCCAACGCTGCAGGATGCGTTCTTTTTCCCTACACGAAGCATTCGTGAAGCAAGCGCGAGACAGCGCCAGGCAAGGTGCTCTGTGCCAGTTGCTCTGTGCAAGTTGCTCTGCGCAAGTTGCTCTGCGCAAGTTGCTCTGCGCAAGTTGCTCTAGGCAAGACGCTCTGCGCAAACTGGTCGGTGCAAGTTGGTCTGCGCAAGTTGCTCTGTGCAACTTGCTCAGTGCAACTTGCTCTGCGCAAGTTGCTCTGCGAAAGTTGCTTTAACATACAAGTTGCATCTTGCAACGCCCGCCCGCGGACTAGGGAGGAATCGAACCCGCGACCCGCCGATTCCGGGAGCAGGCGCGCGAACCACGAGACAACTCCCGAGGACCAGTTCGAACAACAAAAGTCGCAAAAAACCTCGAGTTTTTGCACCTCGACCACGCCGATCCCCGCAGAGGGTCGCGCGAGCACCGCAGAAATCGCAAAAAAACCTCGAGTTTTTGCACCTCGACCACGCCGATCCCCGCAGAGGGTCGCGCGAGCACCGCAGAAATCGCAAAAAAACCTCGAGTTTTTGCACCTCGACCACGCCGATCCCCGCAGAGGGTCGCGCGAGCATGTTAGAAATCGCAAAAAACCATGGGTTTTTGCACCTCGACCACGCCGATCCCCGCAGAGGGTCGCGCGAGCGCCGCAGAAATCGCAAAAAACCATGGGTTTTTGCACCTCGACCACGCCGATCCCCGCAGAGGGTCGCGCGGGAACTTTAGAAATCGCAAAAAACCATGGGTTTTTGCACCTCGACCCCGCCGATCCCCGCAGAGGGTCGATTTTCGTGTAGTGTCGTCGGCACTACCCCGCCGCCCTAAGAAGAGATTTTAACTCCTCGCAAGTCAATTGCACTTGACTCCTTGCACTTGCAACTTGCACTTGACTCCTTGCTTGTTTCAAGGAGTCATTGCAAGCAGTCATTGCAAGGAGTCATTGCAAGGAGTCATGAGAGCCATTGCAAGTTGCAAGGAGCCAAGTGCATGGAGTGCAAGTCGCAAGTGCACGGAGTTAAGTGCAAGTTGCAAGTGCAAGGAGCCAAGTGCAAGGAGCCAAGTGCAGGAGCCAAGTGCATGGAGTCAAGTGCAAGTTGCAAGTGCATGGAGTCAAGTGCAAGTTGCAAGTGCAAGGAGTCAAGTGCAAGTTGCAAGTGCAAGGAGTCAAGTGCAAGTTGCAATCCTTGCCATGACTCCTTGCAATGACTCCTTGCAATGACTCCTTGCAATGACTCCTTGCAATGACTCCTTGCAATGACTCCTTGCAATGACTCCTTGCAATGACTCCTTGCAATGACTCCTTGCATGATGACTCCTTGCAATGACATGACTCCTTGCCATGACTCCTTGCAATGACTCCTTGCAAGACTCCTTGCAATGACTCCTTGCAATGACTCCTTGCAATGACTCCTTGCAATGACTCCTTGCAATGAATCCTTGCAATGACTCCTTGCAATGACTCCTTGCAATGACTCCTTGCAATGACTCCTTGCAATGACTCCTTGCAATGACTCCTTGCAATGACTCCTTGCGATGACTCCTTGCAATGACTCCTTGCAATGACTCCTTGCAATGACTCCTTGCAATGACTTTCATGATGATGATTCCTTGCAATGACTCCTTGCAATGACTCCTTGCAATGACTCCTTGCAATGACTCCTTGCAATGACTCCTTGCAATGACTGCTTGCAATGACTTTCATGATGCTGATTCCTTGCAATGACACCTTGTAATGACTCTCATGAGAACAACTCAAGTGAACCCAGCGGAAGAACCCTTCGCCATGCTTTCGGGAAAAAAATATCGGGTGGGTCGCCGTCGACCCACCGTGCCACTGGCGGAAGCTTCAAAAGCATGTCGTCGGTAACTGCTTTTTTGAGGGGAGGGTTCTTTGTGGGGATGGAATGCTGCTTTGAGCGTTTGCCGAAGGGCAAACAGGTTCCGACCCCAGGTCGTCCCTGTGACCCCACGCAAGCATTCTTGCTGTATTCAGCTTGGCTCAAGGTCTGGGATTTACAATACACGGCACTTAGATTGCCAAGCAAAACAGTCTCGCTGTGCACTCTCTCTGATTTCCACTTGATATACAAAGATGTAGATATTGACATTAATATATATATATATATATTATATATATATATTTATTTAACGTATGTATGTATGTGCGTGTACGTATGAATACTTGCATGTACAATAGGCTCAGTACTGGGTCCTGCACGCTCCCACCACAAAGCGCGCATGGCAGGCAAAGTACGACCGTGCTAAAGAGACACTTTCGTACTGGAGTGTTTGTCGCGGCTGGATATGCCAGGATGATGCGACGAAAGGCCGGCGGCTGCTCCGCTGTGTGCGGCTGTGTTCCCCCCCCTAGCAGGAACCGCCGAGGGCAAACCATCTGTTTTGGACTCATATATGCAATGTGTGTATACGTGTGTAGTATAACGTCAAGCCACCTTCCTCCCCAACATGGCAAGAGTCAAAGTTCGCAAGGCCAGCAAGGAATAACCTTCCGCAACCTCTGTGGCCTAAAGACCG